CTCAGCTTCCCTGTGCAGTGTGCTCTAATATCTCTCCACTGTCATCATGAAAAATTTCGTCAGCATGTTTTGTTCGACGATGGTAAGCGGGACCTGGGTGAAAATGACATTCTCTTAGGTGCAGAGGGAAATAATTATCCTTTGAAGTCAAACGTATTCAGTTTTGCACAAGTCTTGTCTGCCTTATGTTTGAATTGCTTTCTATTCCAGGAAGTTTTAAATTAAACTTTTATTTTGTGTCTCCCCCCCCAGTATCCTGTACAAGACAAAGCTACCTTTCCTCGTGGGAACGGACTGGCTGGGCTTTGGCAATCTGGCCCCTAGAAAGACTAAGTGACCTCCTCCAACAGGAGAAGACTGAAGCAAGCGGTGCCAGAAAGAACTGGAGTTTCTGAAGAATAAAAGCTGGAAGTATGCCCCCGAAAATTCCCCCGGGTGGTCAGTGGTCTGACTTCCACGAATGGGTGGCCTTGGCCAGGAGCAGTCCTGCCGGACTGTAATTTTAATTTCCTGCCCAGGCTGTAATTTTAATTTCCATTGGGTGCTGGCAAAGCCCCTCTGGGTGAGCCCCAGTGCCTGGCATGAGCAGAGCGGGCTTCCAGGGCACTCATTGCAGGCATTGTGTTTAAGGGAAGAGCAGGGGAGCCTTTCTCTGGCCCAGAAGAGCTGCAGTGCTCTTCCTCTCTGGAAGACTAAGAACTAAAAAAATAAAAAACCAAATGAGAAAGAAAGAAAAGAAAATGAAAAATAATAAAGAGAATAAAAAATAAACAAAATAAAGAAGGGAATATAAAATTTGAAAGAAAATTAAAGAAAAAAAATAAAAGCGAGCAAACTGAAAAGGCAATAAAATGAAAGGTGAAATGAAAAACAACCCTTCTTGGGCACCCCGTTTACTCCCCGCCCCCCCCTCTGATCCATAAATTGGGGGTCACCCCTAACAGGTGAGAAGGGGACCCCAAAAGGTGGGTGGGGGAATCCCAGGGAGCCAAAAAAGCGATGGATGGGCACCCCGTTTACTCCCCGCCCCTCCCTCCGACCCGTAAATTGGGGGTCACCCCTAAAATGTGAGAAGGGGACCCCAAAACGTGGGTGGGGG